GGAGAAACATAAAATATTTTATATTTGTAAAAAATGTTTTTCTGTGTCATGATTCAGATAAAAATTGTTTCCCTTTAGTCCTATATGTAGGAGAAGTGTGAAAAACTTCAATTTTCATTAAGATTTTTTTCCCTTTAAGAAACAGTTTACCTGTTCTCTTTATCCTACAACCTATGGAACAAAGTCATTCTTACCTACACCTCTAGTGGATCCTCATTCAAGAAGTGGTTGGACTAGATGATCTTTAATATAACTTTCAGTTCTCTATTCTGTAATAACATACAAAAACTTGGAAGGATTTATATAATTGTAATCAATATTCTAACTTTTACATCATAATAGTAGAAAAAGACTATAGACTCATATCTTTGGACATAATTTGCTGCATTTTAACTAATAATTTTATTTTACAACTAAAATAATACAACTACAATATACAATAATACTATTCTGGAGTATTCTGTTATATAAATTGTTTCAAAAGTCTTCTTATGCCAGCTTAATTTAATGAAAAGAAGGACTAGGATTGACATGATAGTAGTATTCCAATATCTCATGGTTTGCCACAAAGAAGAGGGAGTCAAGCTATTCTCCAAAGTACCTGAGGTCAGGACAAGAAGCTATGGATGGAAACTAATCAAGGAGAGAAGCAACCTAGAACTAAGAAATTTCTTGACAGTTACAGTAAAATAATTAATCAGTAGAACATGTTGCCTCCAGAATTGTGAATGCTCCAACACTGGAAATTTTTAAGAAGAGATTAGATAATCATTTGTCTGAAATTGTCTAAGGTTTCTTGCCTAAACGGGGTTGGACTAGAAGACCTCCAAAGCCCCTTCTAATTCTGTTGTCCTGTCCTGTCCTGTCCTGTCCTGTCCTATCCTATCCTATCCTATCCTATCCTATCCTATCCTATCCTATCCTATCCTATCCTATCCTATACTATACTATACTATACTATACTATACTATACTATACTATACTATCCAGATCCTCCCTTAAAATATTATTATGGTGTCTTCAAAGAGTCTCTAAAGTGCAGTATATTTTATTTTGAATAGACACATGTGGGATTATATTGTAATGTTGTTGTTATATTATTTGCTTACAACCTTTGTCCTTTTTCTTTTCCCTTTCCTTTTCCTCTGTTCTCTGCCCACTGTCAAAACATAGATTAAATATTTTTCTCAAAGTCTCACATGGACTTTGAAGTTGTTAAAAGCATATAAAGGACTGTTAAAACAGTTTCTAAGCATGCTAATTATGTTTGTATTATGTTAAATAAGACTATCTTCTACACAACTGTATCTTTTCATGAGCTTAATTGATAAATTTAGCAACCATACAATAACTGGGACTGTATTTGCAATTCTTCATTTAATAAAAAGGTTTTGTTTGTTCTCAGTAATCAGTATGTGAAAGTTTAAAACCATGGAGTCATTACTTTATGTGAATAGAAATGATTCTATGGAAACAGTAATTTTGAATATTATTGTATAATAATTCATAATTCTAACTGTTATGTTTTTGATCTTTTAAAAAAGTTTTGGTCTTTTTTTCAATTTAAAGAACATAAATAAGAATAGATTCAATACAAAACATGCCTAATTTTTGACTACAAGAATCATTGACTGTAGAAATACCATGGTATGATTGAAGTGGGAAGAAAATATATTACTGACAAAATTTCTTTCTTTCTACATTATTTACTGAATTAAGGAAATCCAGTAGGTCCTCTCTTAATTTTTTTTATCATTATTTTAGAAAATTAATGTTTCTATTTCTTAACTAACAAAAACATGATTTGTAAACTAAACAGAGAAACAGTATCTATGTTATGGATTGAGAATGAGAAGTATGATTATAGTAATTCTAATATAGTAAAACTATTCACAGTAGTTTATTATTCTTGCATCAATTGTGGGAAGGCATTTTGCAGAGGTTCAGACAGTCAAAAATTGCACTATAGCATATATTTGGTATTCAAAATCATTCAAGTTAGTATTAGAAGCATACCATCCCCCCAAAAATTTCCATTCCCCTTACACTTAAAAGAACAACAAGCAATCCAACAAAATCATTAAGAATCTTTTGATTTTTTTCCTTTTTTATGAGAGCTAAAATCAGCAGCCTTAGACAGCATCCTCAATGTTTTATGTTGAGATCTACCATGTTGTGGCAAGATCAAATTATTAGATGAAAAGAAGATTTTAAAGGAAATGAAATACTAAATTATAGTATGTATGTTCATTTATCTCCGTATACTCATACATACACAAAAGAATAGGCAAAGAGGACCTTAGAACAAGAATGTGTCCACAGCAAAATACTGTTGGTGTAATATAGCCTCCAAATTTTTGAAAAAGGCTGGAGATCCATTTTAAGAAACTTTATGGAGAGGAGATTAAACATCCTGTTGCACAATTATCAGTCAATTTCCATGACATTCAACTAACACCAGTTGTACTTGAGACATTTATTGCTTCATACAGCTTCTGCATAGTTGTGATAAAATATGAAAAGATTAACTACCCCGTTCTGAAAACTTTTCAAGTGTTTTGGGAAACTAAACTTTGAATTTAAAATTTATGTTAAGCCATATCTCCACAAGTGATTATGTCTTCTACACATTCCTCTAATTTTAGCTTGAACATAGTTTCTAACTGTGCTTTAAGAACATGTTCATATGACATAGATTTCCTCTCATCTATAACCAAGGCCATCTAACTTTTTTTTCTGATCTAATATGGAGGTAATGTTTCTTATGTTCAACTGGAATATGCCTTGTTATTTGTATATTGCATGATGTTTCAGTAGCAGACATGGGGATGATGTCATAGAAGCTGGGATTTACCAAGGTCCTATTGGCAATTCATTTTTTTTACTTCTTCAAGCATGCCTCCTCCTGATTCCAGTCACCCCTCCAACTTTCTTCCTTGGCCATCTTGTTTTATGCTACTGGATTAACAGGACCCCAGAAATGGTGTAGTACAAAACTGCACCCTAGAAAGCACCAAACATTACGATCTTGAAGCACTTTATCTAGTGTTTTTTGACAATACAACCACTACACCAGGTAGATCTGATCTCTGTAAGTGGCCAAGAAAGGTCCAGGTCTACTCATTTCTCTAATAATCTTGATCCTGCAACCAAGTCACAAGAAAAAGCAGTATATAAAGACTTGCCTTCTATTCAGAAAATATTATAGGGAGCAATTGGCAGATTTCTCCTCATCCTCTCCTTTTTCCTCCTTCCAGGAATTCCACCATTTCAACTTGCTTTCCAGTGAACTGTTAGGACAGTACCCCTGACTAGCCTTGCTACAGAAGCAGAGAACAGCTACATAGAGAGAGCAAATTATGCTGGCATGCTCTGTGCAATATGCCCTATATGATTTTCCTAAGACTGAGGGAGATTTCCTGCTTCTCTATGCCCCATGAAATCCCAGCACAAATGTGGGGAAGAAGCTCCTCTTTTATTTCACTGGACTCATCTCTTGAACTTAGACAAGTGTCAATCAAAAATAAGCTTCTTCAACTGTGCCTTACATAACTGTCAAATGCAATGCGTCTGATGGGGGCTAATCTTCCATGGCCTTACTTTCAGCTGTACAATAAATCTGGTTGATCATAGTGAACTTCATTGATTCTAATGTTCCATTCCCAATCAACGAGATTCCACATGGCTTTGTGGCAGACAACAAGGGCATCTAGTGTGTCAAAGCCACTATCAACTAAGCCATAAAGTACCACCCAACTCCGTGACACTAGCCTTCTGAAACCACACTAGCCACCTTGATTCCAGTGCCAATGCCAGCCTCTGATATTTACCTATCTGATCCCCACCAATGCAGAGAAGATGCAGAGCATAAAAAGGCTTCTCAGTCCCGGCCTCTCTTCCCCCTGCCTCGTGGCACCTAAACTGAATACAGGACTGTCTCTACGAAGTGTCGTGTCACCCACCCCACGTGAAATGCCTCTCTGTTCCCTCTCCCCCTTCCTTACACCACCTGCTGCTAACGACTCTCCTCCCGCCCCGCCTGACGTGACAAAGCAGGCCGTACTAATAAGGCAAACGTCTGCCCCCTCTGTCCCTCGCGCGGCAAAGGCAGGAAGCCACCAGCGATTCTCACTCTAGAGGCCTCGTTTATTCCTCTTCTCTGCACCTGTTCTCTGGAATCATCATCCTTTGCGTCCCTTGGTGCCCGCTGGGGAGCGCCAACTTCCAGAGAGCCCTGCGTTGCCAGCTCACCTCAGGAGCTGCCCAGCCTTGTCTGAGCTTTCCCACCCGCCCCCTGAGCTCTCAGTGGGGCCTCAGTACACGCCCCCTGATCAGCATCGCTCCTCTGTGGTCGATTTCAGAGTGGAAGAGCGCAGAGAAAAGGGGAGCGGCAGCAGGAAGACTACGAAACTCGCTTCTCCAGACAGGAGTGGAAGTGCTTGTGCCTTCTGGTGTGAAGGTGCCTGTAGGTACCTTTGGCCTCCTTCGCTCAAAGATCCCTGCTCATCCTCCTCGTCTTTTTCTTTCCAGTCAGTCTCTCAATCAATCCTTCTTGGAAGATCTGTTGAAAAACCAGCCATTTCCTGACCGCGAGTGGACCCTTTTCTCTACCCGCGAATGAGCAAAATCGGGGACTTTCTCCCTTCCTTCCAAGGCAGACCTTGCTCCCTCCCGTCCCCCCCCCCCACACCTCTCCGCAATCTAATAACCGAACAGCAGTTCCTCTGTGCCCCCACAGATCTCCTCTCCCTATTGCTTGTGTGATTTCACCGTACCCGCCTCCGAAGCACCGTCGCTTCTCGATTTCTCCCTTTCTCTTCTACACACACACCCCTTTCTGGGCACCACGGCTATTCCGTGTGTATGTGTGCGCGCGCGTGGTCTGTATGTATGGGGGAGAGGGATGAGGTCATCCTCTTTCCTGGCGTCAGTCAGCTGGGTGGCGGCGGCGGCGGCAGCAGCAGAGGCGAAGCGGAGGGGCGGGCCAGGCGGAGAAAAAGATGTGCCGGTGTAAGGACTGCTCCGCAAGGCGCTTCTGTCCGGGGCTGGGTGGGTGAGCGGGGTTCCCTGCAGGCAGTCGGCGCTCCAGCAGCGCCTGCAGGACCCAGTGGCCCAGCCCCATCGGCTCTTTGGGAAACCTAACGGGGAGAGCGAATTGTCCGCTGACGGAGGGGAGGGAGGGGGCGGGCAAAAGGGTGTTCCCGGACTGGGTCCTTTCGCTGCCGCTGCCGCTGCCGCTGCTTTCCATCCGCATCATGGCCGCGAAGTCGGACGGGGGGCGGCTGAAGATGAAGAAGGGCAGCGAGGTGGCGTTCACGCCACTGCAGAATTCGGAGCATTCCGGTTCGGTGCAGGCACTGGCCTCGGGCTTTTCCTCCGGCGCGGAGGGCCCCGTCAGCGCCGAGGATGACGAGTCACCTGGCGGCGGCTGCTGCAACTCCGGCGGCGGGAGTCAAAGGGACGGCGGTGGAAACGGCGGGTGCCGCTGCTGCTGCTGTAGCAGCGGAGGCAGGGCGGCTGGTGGCTCGCGGGGCTCGGGCGGAGGTTCGTCGTCGCTGTGCTTGCGGCTAGGCAGGGAGCAGCGGCGCTATTCGCTATGGGACGGACTGTGGATTCTAGCCGCCGTGGCCGTGTACTTTGCGGATGTGGGCACGGACCTCTGGCTGGCGGTCGACTACTACCTTCGAGGCCAGCGCTGGTGGTTTGGGCTCACACTTTTCTTCGTGCTGCTCGGGTCCCTTTCAGTACAGGTCTTCAGCTTCCGCTGGTTTGTCCACGACTTCAGCTCCGAGGACAGCCCCTCGGTGGCTCCTGCCTCCTCCTCCTCTGCCGGACACGGCGAAAGCAAACTGCTGGTGAGCAGCGGGTCGGCCGCGGGGGATATGGATGCCGGGGCCCGGCCGGCCACACCACAAAGGCAAGCGTCCAATGCCAGCAAGGGCAACGCAACTAATAGCAGTAACAGTAGCAGCACCAATGCGACCAGCACTACCAGTGGGGGAGGTGGAGGTGTTGGCTGCAGCGGCATCCGAACCCCCAAGACCAGATCTGCCTCCTGCGCCTTCTGCATCTGGCTGATGCAGTCTCTTATCCACATCCTGCAGCTTGGGCAAATTTGGAGGTAAGACACAAGTGCCTCAAACTATCTTGAAAGCTAGGCTTCCCAGAATAAACATGAGTGGACATTTGGGGTGGGAAGTATCCCAGGTGACTCAAAACTTGTTATCTTCTAGCCATGTACAGGATCAAGGCCTAAAATCAGGGCTTTTTTTTGTCATAGAACACCCAGAATGGAGTTCCGGCACCTTTTTTGGATGGAACCTTGTAGGGTAGGCAAGGCGGGTTGTATGACATGTGTGAGTTCCCGCACTTTTTTTTTTTTTTTTTTTACAAAAAAAGCACTGCCTAAAATAATTGATGACTTGAGAGACTGGAGTGTGGAGGGGGGACATGTGGCACAGTAAATCTAATCTTACCCTCACAAGCTCATGCAATAGTGCATAAGATGTAACTGTGTAATTTTTAATAGATGTGTTTGAATGAACTGACCTGCCAATGTAGCTATTCCTTGTGAATGGTTATATGTGCAATCAGATAGATTGCACTATCAATGGAACCACTTACAGCTGACACACACAGTGGAGAATTGTACTGTGTGCAATGCATCCCTCCTTACCTTCTAAGATTAGTTGGTTTCAGTCTTACCTTAGCTTAAGGAAGCATAGATGTCACTCCATTCGTAAGAGAAAATGAAAACTTGGTGCTTGCTTTAGAAAGAACACATAGAAAAGTCCAATGTCTTTACTAGATACCAGCCCATAGTGAGGTGTTTCTCTGAAGCAGAGTTTTAAGATACAGTTGTTATTTCTGAACATTTATGCGTGGTTCAAAGTAACATTGGAAATGGTTAAAGAAACAGATTAAAGGCAGATGACTTTGAATTCTTGCTTTCTGTAAAAATACTTTCTGTATGCAAAATACTTAGACTAAGGAAGAACTAAAATTTGAAGCATTATAAAGTCTCTAAAACCTGAGTTCATATTGCATCCTAAAATCCCTGCACGTGGATGGATTATTAAGTTATTAGTTATTTTTATTATTTATATAGAAACAGTAGTAGGTGTGAGTGTGGGCGTGTTTAGAGCATTATGACCTAAGGCAAATCTCAAAGTATATTTTGTATTCAGCAATTTTATATGCCTCATGTTAATGTAATTCACATAGCACATTCTATAAATATTATTTTTATGCTTATTTGATAAGATTAGAAAACACATTTCTGAACAATTGTTAATGATGTTTAACAACTTAATTCCTGTACATTTTAATAAGGAATAGAAAAGGATTGTTGCATCTAATATATTGATAATTTGGTTTTATACTATTTATAAGCCATGATAAAGAACTACCTTAAAGATAACAAAATATTGCTTTCATGTTATTGATATAGTAACCAAATATATATTTTAATTAAACTTTCATTCTGGTATATTTAAAATAATATTTCTGAATGACCATAATAGCTAAAATGTATTATTATATGCTGAATATAATTCAAAATATTCTTATTCTAAAAATATGCCTATCTTTATTTGTTCTATTCCAACCTATCTTAATAAAATATATTTTTATTAAGTTGGTCACACCCTTGTATTCACTTACATGAAGGAAACATGACCATTATCCAGGCTGTTGTTATGTCCTGACCTTGGGTTGGGGTGGGAACTAGGGAGTCATATAAGGTTTGAATGCATTAAACAGGTCAATGATATACCAAGTACGATTGTTAAGTGTATGTTATAATATAAAACCGGGGCTTCCAGACAAAATTGTGTGAAAAAGGATGCCCTAAAACTAAGATACAATATCTATGCTGTATAAAAAATGAGCAGACAGCATTATTGGTTATGTATTAAGGTAAGAAATAGATTGTCCGGGTAAATTTTTGAGGCCTGCCAGCACTGTTTACTTTTATTATAAGTATGGGTTTCATTATTTCTTAGTCTTCAGCCAGAAATGTTAACAGGCACTCAATGAATATTTAATGTAAGGAAAATGAGAAGAATTTTGTATGTCCCGCCCATATAGATGGTTATAAATGATTGTATTGGTAAAAACAGCAAGATTCATAACTGTTGTGTGATGAAACAAAATTGTGATGTGTGAATAAGTTTCAAAAAGCATATATTCATTGTTATACTCAAGTATTTTTATTAAGCCAATTTATACTGGAGAAAATGATGGACAATCAGTTATATGGACAATTTAATCTGTTGCTGAGATTTCTTTTGCAAATATAATTTCAGTAAAATTCAACTTAAAAAGATTTACTTCCTAATAAGTTCACAGTGTTATATGATATAATTTATTATTGCATTACAAATGTTTAATTCTTGATGGTGACATCTATCTATCTATCTATCTATCTATCTATCTATCTATCTATCTATCTATTTATCTATCTATCTACCTACCTACCTACCTACCTATCTACCTACCTATCCTCTATCCAACATCTTTCTTTCTATCTGTCACTAAAATGAAATTGGGATTGGGTTAGGTGCTTTTTAAGAGCTCTTTAAGATAAATTTTCCACAAGGCTTATATATATATTCTGTTATGATTGGTAAGTCGTCAAGGGAAAGCAGGAAACACCTTACACAGGAAAATCACCAAAAGAATAACTGCTTCAGTTGTCCATTGCAATAATCTAGTCATCACTACAAAAGCCACCTTGCAATTCCTACAGCTGAGAACACAGGGTAAAAAGAATGAAAGGGGAAATCACATCACATATTTCTTCTTGCCTCTTTTCTTCCATTGAAAATTACATTTTGGGAGAACTTTAGAAACTTCCCACATACAATGTGTAATTGGTTTCTAATTTTGATATTTGTTATTTGATTATTCTTTCTCGAATCAGCTACAGTCACTTTTTCCTTAATAAAAATACTATTGCTGAAAACATTTAAATACATTGCTGTGTTTGATTGCACAACCAGACAGAAGTTTAGACTGGATTTAACATTCTTATCCACCTTTGCAGTCCATACCAGGGACCTGGGATAAGCAGATATTATTTGATGGTGTTAAAGGTATCATTGCAAGATGTAAGCTATTCAAGTAAAGCTGCCTTTTACAATTGATTGGAAATTGATTTTTCCAGTATGACAAAACTGATTTTGCCATAATTGGACACTAATTATGGTGTCCAGGTGGTACTCCAGATATTTTGGGACTGCACCCAAGGCACCTTTTACAATTGGTACTATCTTTGATTTCTTCATCCATAGACCTTTTGCTTCTATTTACAGGTTTATTGTTAATGAATAATACCTGTAAATAATGATAATTATTTATTGTCATTATTATTTCAATTAAAGCATGCTAATTATGCATTAATGGATTAATGTTACTGTAATGCTTGAAATATACAGTATACACACACACAGATATAGTACATGATTTATTATTATTATTCACAATTACATTTATAAACTTCTGTTGTGGGAAGAAAAGTATATTTTAAAAGACCAGCTGTCTTACGGCATGAATTATAATTAAAAAAAAAATTGCTTCTGCCCAAGTTGAAAGATCTTGTATGGCGGAGCAGTACTTTCTAACATCATTCTAGTTTCTGTGTATGTGTTTTAGAAAGAATATAAAGATGAACATCTTTGCCATATATAATATGGCTGTGGTCAATATATATGCATATGGAGATTGTGAGTATAACTGATACTAGAATAACAAGAGTTATTAACTTCTGGAGGCAAGTTGTTCCATTAATTAGTTGTTCTGCCAGGAAATTTCTCCTTAGTTCTGTGTTGGTTCTTTCCTTGATTAGGTTTCCTCCATTGCTTCTTGACCTACCTTTAGGTGCTTTGGAGAGTAGGTTGACCCCTCTTCTCAGCCCATTAGGTATTGGAACACTGCTATCATGTCACCCCTAGCCCCTCTTTTCATTAAACTAGATATGCCCAATTCCCGCAACTGTTCTTCTTATCTTTTAGCCTTCAGTTCCCTAATCATCTTTGTTGCTCTTCTCTGCACTTTCTAGAGTATCAACATCTTTTTTATATTGTGGCAATCAAAACTGGATGCTTATTAAAGTCACTTGGAATTTGATTATCTATTCCCATTCTCCAATATATATTCTTAAAATGATTCCATGCAAAATTAAAATAATAACAAAATAAAATTATTTTCAAGATAATTAAACAATTCAATAAAATTTTGAATAAAACCATATTATAAAATATAGCAAAATTAAAATAAACCCATTAAATGCCTGAGAATCTTCTTTTAAAATGGGTTTCATCTCTTATTAAAAATAGAATAAAACTTCTAGCTAATCATGTCTGGGAAATTCTAAAGGGAGGCTTAACTTTAGAAGTTCTATCTTACTTTATCAACTCATTCCTAACGATAGTGGGATCCAAACAACTTCCTCTGAATCAGACCTCTGGATATTTCTGAAGTACCAGAATGTCTAGTACTAACTACTAAACCCCTAATATCACTTGGGTTTAGAAGTCAGTCATTAATTTCAAATTTTGTAACACTTTTTATATTTTTAAATGGCATATTCACTCTGACTATGCATCCCAAAATCTTAATAAAATAATTGCTTCCTTTGGCATCTTTGCTAAAAAAAAAAACCTTTATATATTTGTAAATTAATTGGAAGCAGCATAATTTTTATAATAGGAATAATTTTATGGAAGTTCTCTAGCTGCTACATTTTGCACCAACAGTAATTTCTAAATTAACCGTAATGTCAATTCCATGTATGTAACATAGTATGGGGGGAGTATGATAGCTCAGTGGTTAAAGATGCTGACAGACCAGGTTTGAGACCTGAGCCCTGCGTGACAGGATGAGCTCCTGTTATTTATCCCAGCTACTGCAAACCTAGCACTTTGAAAACATGCAAATGCAAGTAGAAAAATAGATACCACTTTGGTGGGAAGGTAACAGTATTCCATGTGCCTCAGTGTATAGTCATGTTAGCCACATAACCATGGAGATGTCTTCAGCAACACTGGCTCCCTTGGCTAAGAAACGGAAATGAGCACCAACCATTAGAGTTACAAACGATTGGACAGGGGAAACTTTACC